TTGTTGTTGTTGAGAGTTGAGTCAGCAGTAAGGGGGAACTTCGGACATTGATTCTGGTTCATCCATTCATTGTTATTATTATTATTATTGAGAGAAGAATAAGATTGGTGAAGAGAATGAAGAAGGAGGAAGGTGGAGAGAGAAGGGGGGAATTTTCATTGGTCTTGCTGGTGTACTTCTTCTTCTTCTTCTTCTTCTTCTTCTTCTTCTTTACCTCTCCTCTGGTCTTTATCTCTTTGCAAGTGCTTTCATTTCTTTCGCAATTGGGTGGCATTGTCTTTCATTGTGAATTTGCACTTGGGAAATGACCAGGATCGTAACATTTTCCTTTCTTTTTCTTTTTTCCACTAGAGCTGTAGCCCCCAAACTTCCAAAATTACAAAATGAGCGGTCAGATCGAGTCCTTGTAAAGGAAGGACTGGATCTGGCCGCTCATTTTGGGATTTTGCGATTTTGAGAGCCTAGTGTGAGTGTCTGCCCTTATTCTGAAGCTTCTGGGACTACAAATCATATGACCGTAAGATCAGCCTACCAGAAATTTAAAGTGGAAATTTTAAACCACCACTCCAACGGCCCCTGACACTGCTATTTTTGCATGTCTGCAAGTACAGGGCCAAAATCTGCAGTGCGTGGGCCGGCTAGCGGTTCGGTGGGGAAGGGTACCACAATTATTTTTCCTCATGGTGGCACTGTAGATTTTAGGCTCGGGGGGAAATACAAATTTTGGTTTGTCAGAAATAGGTCGGGATGGGGTGGCGGTTGCAAGGGAAACCTGGGAACGTAAATAAAAGAAGAGTGTAGAGTGTTCGACATTGACTTAGTGTGATCTTGTTTCTCCTTTCCGTGTTTCCCCCCTTCCCTACCCCTTCTCCCTCGCCCCCCCTCCCCCGCCCCCCCCCCCCCCCCCCCCTGCGTCTCCCCCTCATCCGGCTGCTTTCAATCGCCTGCTTGTGGCAGCTTCTGGACACTGGATTCTTCCATGCCGACCCTCATCCGGGAAACTTGATACGCACACCAGATGGACGCCTGGCAGTGCTGGACTTCGGTGAGTGCGCTAAATCTCTCAAACACTTGTCATGGCTGGTGTTTTTTTTTTTTTTTTTTTTTTTTCTTTTTTCTTTTTAACAGGAAACAGTAGTTTTTAACTTCTTCTTTTTTATTTTTATTATTTTTTTAACAGAAAAGTGAACTTCCATATTCATATAGCCGGGAAACGGGCCCGGTGTGCCTTATATCATTTGCTGTGGTCAAACGGGCTAAGCAAGGCACTCCCGGCCAAACCTATCCCCACCAAAGCCCCACAAGGTTACAAAACCAATGATCCCGATACCAACCCTAAAACAAAATCTGCGTTCCCTAATCTACCCCTTCTCCAAACCACCATTATCAAACAACCCTAATCTAGTTGAATCCAAGCTAGATAACAAACTACCAGCCAAAAACACGGAAACAAGATATTCAATGGTTTCATCCTACTTATGCGCTACCAACCAAAAACACAAACAAATCCCCAATGGTGTCATGGACTTCCCCACGTGCTAACAAGGAGGTAACACCTCAGCAATCATCCTAAAAACACTAACACAATGGACACCAACCCTAAGTAAAAATTTAACAACCCTACTTGTCGAATCACCAGTCCACTGAGTACCAATTACACGTCCCAAAACTCTATACTAACAAGACTTAGCCTAACGATTAGAATCTATGAGAACACAATCATCTATACTCACCACACAGAACACAACGCTTGCAATTCAGGGAAACACAGTCTATGATTTGTCAGAGCACCAGAAATCAGAAAATCTTGAGCAACGACCCACCCGAAGTTGGAGCAAAGGCAACAGTGGACATCCCTGCTCATAGCTTGAGATCCGTTGTCAGCGACGGCGGACGATACCGATCACGGCATGAAGTCCGTCATCTGTCTCTCGGAATCCGACGTTTATCGATGCACTCTCGTCCCTCATCTCCAGCTCTTCATCCATATAAAACTGCATCCGGTCCAGCAACGCAATCGTTCTCCGTATCTATAATCAGCGGGCAGAGCCCCTGATCAGGTAGTAATACTGATATGTACGATGCGCAGATCCTGCCCGCTGACCGACCCCACATCTCTCTCCTTTCTTCTGCGGCCAATCTAGGATTACCAACTTTCGTCGGCCAAGATTGGGCTATGGCAGTTGCATGGTTGTGCCCCCTCGAAGCGGCCTCCACCTCAGTGCCCACACGCTCTATCACCTCTTCGCCTCCGTCATACCCAACAGCAAGTTCTGGCTAAGCACAGCTTATCTGCAGCTGCCCCCGTGCGATCCCCCGCTGCCCGCGCATCGTAATAGTGACTATTGTTTTTCCTGTGCATCAAGTTTTGCCGAGCCTGCGGCCCGTTTTCTTTCTTTTCTGGTACTCTTCTAAAAAAATAAAAAGAAAAAGAAAAGCACGGCTAGACTTTCAAGTGGTTAGAGCACTGGTTGGAAATGTGCATTGTGGTATGAGGTTGTGGGTTCAAATCTGCAGGCTTGCGAATGGACACCGGCAGGGCGTTAGAATGACGCACGGCTGGACATACCACTACATGGTTATGATTACAGACCCTGCCTGTATTGGTCAGGGGATCAAGTCCCGGGTGTTGTATGCTGGTTCTGGGTTCCGCAGGGCTTGCTTGGGATGTTGGTCTTGGTCGTTCGATTCTCCTCCCCAGTCTGATATACCACACACACGTGCTATTTCCGATTGTTGCTCATACGGTTGAGTCTTCCAGTTACATCTCACAGGTCACGGGTTCGAGCTTGGTCACAGACTTTGGGGGGGTCTGTCCAGTCTGGCCTGTTATACATGGTATTCTCAACACAAATATAGTGCTGACATATGGCCTTCGGCCCCGTATATGATTCATACTACCTTCTGGTATACAACTGGCCTCTAGATATATATACACATACATTATAAATAGCCTACATCCATGGCTTCCTGAGCACATACATATGGCCTAAGGGCTTACATGCATCCACAGTTGACTGGGGGAGGGGTAGAATAGACTTAGACTCTAGGGTATAGAATACGGTAGTTACCCCAGCAGATCTAAGTTCCACCTAGCCAAGATAGGGGCAAGCTAGGGGAAGGACGGTGGGACTGTCAGTCTGAGTTCCGCCTGGCCTTGGGTAAGCTAGGGGAAGGACGATAGGCTGTCTGGCTGGGGTATTGACTGCTAGTTAGCTGTCCCCGAAAATAAAACCCAGGGGTCTATGATCTCTACAATAAGGATACGAGGTTGGTAGAATATAGTGGTGCCTAGCGTCCGAAGTTCCCGTACAGCGAGGTCGTCCGATTTCGCTTCCACTGGGGCTGGGGTAATAGCTAGCCTCGGTGCCTATCACTACTGTCTGGTCCAAGTCACCCACCTAGCGGTTGGGTGATGGTTCTGAGGGCGTTACACTGAGGTAAGATAGTTGGGTTAGGGGGTACGCTGGGAGTATTGATGAGTAGTACGGTGGGAGGTGACCTCGTATCTTAGGACTGCGAAGGCTCATCGCTCCCAGTGATCCCTGTGTGCCTGGTAATTAGCCTCTACAACATCCCGGAAACGACGCTCTTACAACCTAGGGAGATATCCTGGGCCGCCCGGGTCCCGAGGTCACGCCCGGTTTGGCGACAGGGTGACCGGCCGGGCATGACCTCCGGGCATGGGCCCAGGCAGCCCCAGCGCCCAAGAAAAAAAAAAAAAAAAAAAGTCTGAAAAAACAATGTTGTGTAGAATTGCAATACAAACCAAGGCTGTTTTCCCGGGCACCCGGGCACCCAACTTCTGCCTGGGTACACGCCCGGGTGCCCGGCCGGGCATGACCCCCGGGCAGGGGTCCGGGCAGCCCCAGCGCCAAAAAAAAAAAAAAAAAAACTCAAAAAATTCCGGGAAAAAAATATGTTGTGTAGGATTGAAATGCAAACCGCTTTTGGCTGAGGGTCACATTATAATTCCTCGCAGAATCGGAGATAAAAAAAAAAATAACAGAATCACACAAAGGCACCCCCCTTTAGACCTCTTTAGCCCCGTTAAAACCAATTTATACCCCCCTCCCCCCCCCTTGACAGCCAACTCGCAAAAAACGAAATGAGCCCGGATTTGGAGTCCTCTGGGAGAGCGCAGAAAACCAAAAAAAAAWAAAAAAAAWCTTTTTTTTTTTTTTTTTTTGCACGCCCGGGTGCCCGGCCGGGCAGGACCGACCGGGGTGAGAATCTTCCTTGATACAAACAACTTTTGGCTAAGGGTCACATCAGAATTCCTCTCGGAACTCTAGATTAAAAAAAAAAAAAACCAAATCTTACTAAGGCACCCCCCTTTAAACCCCTTTAGCCCCTTTAAAATTCATTTATACTCCCCTTCCCACCCCTTGACAGCCAACTCTCAAAAAAAGAAAAGAGCCCGGATTCAGGCTCCTCTCCATGGCCATTTTTTTTTATTTTTTTTTTTCCATGCCGGGGTATCCCGAGCGTCACGCCCGGGTGACCGGGAGGCCATGAAAATATTCCTAGCTTACAAACACAAATAAGAAAAAGGAAAAAAAGAGATTTAAAAAGTTTAAAAAAGACACAGAAAAAAAAGCGAAAAAAAAACACCCATTTGGACGTGATACCAGGTAGATACCTACCCCAAAGCTGTTGTGTGAGTATGCCCTGAGTGACGGCGTTATGGCAGGGGTATCTGGTCCAGGGAAGAAGAAAAAAGGTTAAAAAAATGAAACTGAACTTAGGGGGGGAAAGCGGGTTCATACATTCTGCACACTAGTAGTGTAGGCACACCCTCCTCCACAAAGTGGCAGCAGCTCGTGGACTGCGCCGTGCCTCCCTGGCAGGGTACCAAAACAAAAAAAAAAGAGAAAAACAGCAAAAAAATGAACAACGAAAACCTGAAACTGGCCACAATAGTAGTTAGATACTTGCTTGTGAGTAGGGCCCACAAGGCCCAACTGCCGAGCCTCCGCATACCCCCGAAAAGTTTGGGAAATGTGGGACAACTGCCAGTTTTCCAATTTTTCCCAAGAGTGACAGAGGTAGTGACGGCTTAATAGGAAAACAGAACCTCCGGGTTCTGGATCCATTTTTTTTTTATTTTTTTTTTTGCCCTAGGGAACCATGCATTGTTTGGGCACTGGGAGAAAGATGAGTCGAAATGACAAAGTTGATCCAGGCGTGAGCATGCCATTCATTTCAGTAAAGTTGCTTAGACCACCACTACCTCCAAGCCTCTTTTTGCCGAGGCGGAGTAGAGTTGCGTGCGAGGCTTTGGCCGAAGCGCCAGCACGGCGTTTTTTGTTTTGTTTTTGGCTGGCGCCGCCAGCCTTTTTGGTCCGGATGGTGCCCGGCCTCCGTGGACCTCCGAAGAATGCGGCATAGATTTTATGTAGGAGTTGGGCTTCCAGCCTGAAAGGTAGTGGTGGTTTAAACCATGATGATGATGATGGCAGTGGAAGTAGTGTGGCCTATAAATATCAGTACTGGTAGTTAAAAAAAAAAAAGAAAAAAAAAATCAGTTGTGGTACTGAGGATCATGCTTCTTTGTTTGCAGGTTTGATGACACAGATTACCGATGATCAGAAGTACGGAATCATTGAGGCAATGGCTCACCTTATCCACCGGGATTATGTGGCGATCCTCGACGATTTTGTGATGCTCGGTTTCTTGTCTCCTGATGTGGACTATACTCCCCTTCTCCCGGTCATCGAGAAAGTTTTTGAGCAAGCGCTAGGCGGTGGAGGAGCCAAGAGCATCAACTTCCAGGTGAGTGTTCCCCATATCATCCTCCTCCCTGCTTGGTGGAAGTGTAAGAGGATAAGATAATCTGCCACAGCATTGTTTTTGAGATGGGCACGGTTTTTTATTTATTTTTATTTTTTATTTTTTATTTTTTTTAATTTTAACTGAAGTCATTAGGAATGGTGATAAGAGCAGCCATTCCTAATCACCCAGTTGAGACTCCAGTCTAAAGGTGGGAGTATCACCTAAAAAAATAAAAAAATAAAAAAATGGGCAAGTCTCATCTTTTGATTCCTGACTTCTTTTTTTTTTTTTTTTTTTCAACTGCTCAGGGCAGTGCTAGAGGCGCTGGTATGAGCAACACCGCTAGCACCCCCAAGATGGCTCCATCTATTGGTGGGGAGCAGCACCTGCTGGAAACCGGGTCCAGCGTCCCTTAATCAATGAATCCTACAGTCTTCACCCGAACATGACACACCCTGAAAATGAACGTATACAACGTATGTTTCCAGCCTGATACAGTCAAAATGAGGGTGCATTGTGTTCGGGGGACGACGGTAGTTTCAACATAAGTATGGAGCTCTGTGGATTAGTAATAGCTTTATGTCCAACACCTGCGATTTTCAGAAAACAGAACTATTTGGTTTCAAAGTCTCCACAAGTGTCACTTTCTTTTTTTTTTTTCTGAAAGATTTCATAGTGTCCATAGACCACACAGGGTCTTCTTACCCTGCCTGGTGGAGTGACCACCCATTGAGATGGCTGCAGTCTAGTCGTGAGGAGCCGACGCCTGCTGAGAAGTGGATCCAGTGTCTCATATGAAAGGATTCACGCTGCAGACACCCAGTTCCGGTCCCAGGGTCCCCACAAGTGCCAAGGCCCAGTGCCGTCCCGTAGGGTAGGCCATAGGGTCTGCAGGCCGAAGTGTCATAGGTCGGTAGGTGTCGATACCAAAGCGTCGTAGGTCGGTAGGAGTCCGTCCGGTAGCCGACAAGAAAAGTTCAGAAGCGTCCAGTCAAGTCCGACAGTCCCAAGTCCAATTTTGCAGCATGTCCCAGAAAAGTCGGGAAGCTACGGGACCAATAAAATGTTTGCAGCAGACAGGCCGCGGTGGACCGGTACGGGTCTGAAGCAGGCCGAGCCAAGCCAAGGCAAGCGAAGCCAAGCCAAGCCGAGTCCTATATTTAACTGCTACAGTGCAGGCTCATCACTTGTTGTGGCATACTGGGTAGCCACACGGGCCCTGTAGGACCCGTCCCGGACATTCAGCCTAAAAGCCTAAAACTTAGGATCTACAGGCCCCGGTCGTTTCAGCCTGAAAACTGAAAAACGAGGGTCTGCAGGCCCTACTCCGTTTCAGCCTATTTCTGGGTCTTTCAGACCCAGAGTTTTTCCAGCCTGAAACGGAGGGCTATTCTTAGGCCCTGGGCTATTTTTAGGCCCTCATTTGTTT